TACCGCTGGACCCGGGCCTCTGAGGTCGAGAGAGTGGGCCTGCCCCAGGGCAACGGCTTCCCCTCTTTAAAGAGCTCTCCTGCACAGGGTTCTTCACTCAGCTCATCTTCCCAACAGACGAACTGCACAAAGTACAACTGTCACCGTTGGACATGGTGGACAACCACCAATGAGTGACTCAATTATTTCAAGTGACAACTGCAGAATACTCGATAGTCACACCAACAGGGGACTCCCTTGAACAGTTCAGTCAAACTATGGCAGTCCCTAATGTCTGACTGGCCAAACATTTACATTCATGTGATTTTCCTATCTAAAGACAATTGATTATCATCTACCACAAATACATAGACTTATTCATATCACAAAGCTCCGAGGTCTGCTCCTTTTTTCACTCGCAGCTGTCACGGTTGCTCATTTCCATGAAGGCTGGAGAGGTGTACAATATCACAGGGCATTGTATTGATCGGCAACCCGTTCATGCAAATCTACTCTCCAGTTGCATCAGTTGGCAATATCAGTCGCGGTTGTGGGATATGTACTTGGTTTCCGTTCATAACTTACCCCTGTTTGAAAACCATACTGGGACGAACGTTCATTACCAAAAACTGCGTTTTTTAAAACTCATTTCTCACTTTATCTTTCTTTTTAGAATATTGAGCGAGGCTTCATGGGACACCGTGAACGAGCAATGATAAAAATGTGCATTAATTCATGTGCGGCTGATCTTTTGATGTATTTAACCAGGTACATAGAATCCCTGTTTTTAAAAAAAATGCGTTGGTGTTGAGGCACACAAAGGGACTTAAATCGTAAACTTCAAAGCCTCCGACGACAGAATAATATTTGGGACAATAGTTTAGGCTAAAAGAAAAAAAGAGCAAAGAAACAACCCTCCTCCCCTTTAAGCAGTTTCAGCTGTATGTGTGGTTGTTGGTAACAGCTGAAACTGCAACCTGATCCTGTGGGAGTTTTTTTTTTTCCTTTTAGCGCTGCTACCCCGCTGCCCTCAGTCATGCTCGCTTGTGTTTGTTCAGACAGGGGGTGAGAGTCGAGGAGTGAGTACTGGAGAGGCTTTTCTGCTTCAGAAACGGCTTTACGGTGTAACCGAGAAATGGGAGAGGGGATAACGTCTGTGAAGTGACTGCAACAACCAAACTAGCAAAAAAAAAAAACTGCTCGTTCTTGGATACTTGGAGATATCATTCCGTCTGTTCAGAATATGGAAACCATGGATCCAATAACAAAGTGGTCCCCTATTCAGGTTGTGGAGTGGATGAAAGGTGAGAATTGACTAAAAGTTATGTAATGTGTTTAAAAGAATCACTTTTATTTTATTTCAGCACTTGGCGCCGTACTGTTTCCATCGATGGCAACATTTGTACTTGAAGCGTCGTCGCTGTCTAAGAGCCGAAAGTACGGCTCTGTTTGTTTATACCGAAGTTTCAGCAGTTTCATAGGAACTGGGGCTTATGAAGTAATTTGGCGATAGCGATTAACAACCACTTGTTACAACCCCTATCACTCTCACGAACGATGGGATTGTACAAAACGTCAATTATTTCGTCTTTATTTCTAATTCTATATCGTCGTTTAGCGAAGTTTTATGTGCCTGTGTTGTCCTGTTCACTATTTTACGTTGTGTCCTTTGCCGTGACAGTAGTTTCGACATGAGGTCGGAAGTTGTTACATTGTCATTAGGTTCACTGTGTAATTATTACCCCCTGAAAAGCAAACGCAAAGCACCACCATAATGTTTGGTGCAGCATATGGCGCTGAGCCATTAAATGTTGTCAATTTCTTTTACAATGAAGGCGCGTAAAACTTTGGAATGCATTTGCTCGAGATGTTTAATTAACCGTTGACGCGCAACGCTTTTGGAATAAAAAGTCTTTTTGAGCGGACTTGGGCAAACATTAAGCAAAACAACATGTTCTTGAAATAGCAGACTATAGTTGACTGTGTGTTTGGCTATAGTTAAAATTTAGAAACGGGCAGTCGCATAAATAATATTTACGACACCGTGGTCACAGAGTTCATTCCCATATCTTGTGAGGTAGAAATATCTCATTCTCACTTGCGAGAGCATATATTAACTATTTGTCAAGGATCTGGACCACATATAGGGGTGGTCCAGATCCTTGACAAATCGTATCTAACTTTTGTGCAAATCGTCTGAGTGTTTTGTATCCCGTGCCTTTCCAACAAGACTAAAACATTCACGCGAGCGTATTTCATTAGTAATCGCCCATCTCCGTCGGTTGGTTTCTCTGATTGAGTTGTTCCTCCTTTTCTCTTTTGTATTTTTGAGAAGTAGATAGGTCCGTGTGTAATGTGTGGCTTTTCCAGCTCTCGAAGCCCCTAGCGTTTTCTCACGTCGGCTACCGGAGCGGTGAAAGGGGTCGTGTTGAAGTATACATAGGCAGCTGTGCCTTTTTTGCTTTGACAGTCTCTTACACCGCTTATTTTGTTCGTCGAAACCTATCAAGTACTGGGACTTGGCGGTCTGCATTTCTTTCACGAATTGAGCTGGTTTCTAAAACTGCTTTAGCTGAAACCTAAAAGACTGGTTTCTAAAACTTATAGCGGACCATCCCTCCCCCCTCAGAAAAGGCATTATGAGACGATAGGGTGTCGAAAGTCCCTCGTTTGGTGTCACACTGTACAAAAGAAATTCCGCACATTCCCACTTGAGTCATTGCATTAAGTGGATGGTCTCTCATCTGTTGGTTTTGTAAACAAACTATTGTGCATTTTAATAGAATGGAGTTTCCCCAAATTACCCAGGTAACCCCTGTCCACGGCAATTAAAGTTGCAGACATGCCAAGGTTTTATGTACTACTGTATATACACTCTGGAAAGTCATGCAGTGTCCAGATTTTCGGTAGAAGAAGCAGTCTTTTAAATATATATTCAACTATATTAGGGTACTCTGAGCTTCATAATTGTTCCCTGAACAATGCTTTGACTGTGAGTCCTGCACGTTGATAATTTACCAGCACTTTGTGCGCTGTAACAATCTTTTTAAGACAAAAAGTGGAAAGTTAAAAATTAGCTTTATGTAATAAGATCACATCATAGTTTGTTCTACGTGTCCCATTTCCCTTTTTCATTTGAACTTTTTTTAAAGTTTTCTTTCAAAGGACATTTCAACACCACAAAATGTCAACGCAGAAAATCTGCTACTTTGCTTGAAAGCAAGGTCTGAGCGAATCACAGGTCCTTATACAGTTTTGAGGGTTTTTTATTCTCTGAGAAATATTGCATCTTTTTGTGAATCAAGCTATATAATTCTCAAACTGTATGCACGTTGAATTTTTGTACTGAATAACTTCACAATTCTCTCCGAATGATACTTTTTTTTTGTTGGATCACTAGACAAAAACAAATCCCACTGCCAAACAAGGATACATGCCCTGGCTTGTCAAGTTCTCATGATCTAGAGATTGGATGTTTGAGCATTTGAAGTTGTAAATGAGTCACTTTAAAAGCCTGTAGAGCAGTGAGTTTGAGTTGATATTGGGTGTTTTAAATTGCTCAGCAGGATGGACTGGGATTTTTCATACTCCATGCTTCCAAACTCATCCCTGGTGAGTGGATGTATAGTTCTGGGATTAGGACTATAGACTGCATAGCTCTCTGTAAAACTTCATGGTCAGCATGTCTTTGACATGGAAGCACTGCACTATGTGTGATAGATTTTTACCAGAGCAGAGGTCAACTCTCTGACCATGAGTCATAGGACCCCAAAGCGTGTTTCAGCCTACAAAGTAGTCAGTTTACATACACTGCTGTATATAGAGAGCTTTATTTACCTTGCTGGACTCGAAGCTTTTGTTTTACTTTAAATATAATTAATAATAATAATTGCTTACACTTATATGATGCTAGTACAGATGTAATTGTTTGACATCAGGTGATAATTCAATATAAACTTGGTTATCAACCTCTAATTTACAAATTGTGTATTAAAGCCAAGGTTTTGAGAGTGCTTTAGATACAACAGAATGTACCTAAGAATATTTTACAATAAAAGGATTAGATTAAGATCAGCTTTTACCTGACAGTGAAGTTCTTTCTTTTCCTGGGATTTGTAGGTGTTAAAAGGAGAACTCCGTAGTTTGGAGAACCAATGACACAGCCCCCGATAGCAATGTGCCACATGCTTAAAGGAACATATGTCCCTTTTCTTTCCTCAATTAATCGTGACCCAAAAGATTACTCTTCTCTCGGGGGTTCTTGCTTTGGGGTAAATCTATTGACAACTGTCACAGTTTCATTTTTTTAGTGGCCTTATGATTTATCAACAGAAGTTTCTTATGTTTTCAGGATAGTCTGCTGTACATTATGTATGATGTTCAATCCCCCACCCTGCAAATTAAATTGAGTGAGGATGTAAATGTCCTTTGATTTAATGTTTTCTTGATAAACACTTAATTTCCTATCTTAAATAAACAACTATCTGATATATTTTTAAATGCTGGTGAAGTTTACAAGTTTAAAAAGTATAATGCTCATTTAAAATTTTAGCTTGCTGATTGCAATTCAACTCAAATCAAAACAAGTAGGGGATTATCTCTAAATAAAGACCTTAATTAAGTCTGTTCTGATACCTTGCCTTTCTTCACACGTTTAGTTTTGACAGGTACGTTGAATTCCAAACTTGCTTTAACTTCAAGACATCTCTGGGGGTGGAAAATATTGCTTCATTCAGCAAATGTGCAGCAGACATGTCTTCTTTCGAAGGGTCATGTTGATCCGATTTCAGTAAAAAAACAGACGAAAGAAAAAAATCTTCAAGGAACAATAAGTCATTCTTTTTCTCGTTTGGCATAATTTTTCTTTTTTTGTTGGCGGTTATAAAGAGAAAAACAGACAAGATGTCAGTTTGGTTTTTGAGAACACTTAATTTTCTGCCGTTTTTATTAGATACTGAAGTCAGAACGTCAACTGAAAGGTGCTGGATGTAGTGTTCATGCCACATTTTTAGGAATTCAAGTTTGCGTTTACTGGCAGTTCTCTTTTCCTAGCGTTTTATATTTTTATTCAGTCTATATTTCCCTGGGTTGTTCTCTTAAGCTAGTAGCATTGACCTAACCATTCTCATAGGAGCATAGTTTGTACACTTGGAGCAAAGTATCTGTTCCATTTAGTCTTTAGTATTAAATAATTTCTTTTTATCTGAAAGACTGAGAGGAAAGAGATTAAGAAAGTGCACACTGAGTAGTTCTGTACCCTAGCAGGGAGAGTGTACCATTCAAAAAGGAACACAGAATTCCTTCGGGATCTGCCTGAGCTCTCTCTTCCTTTCTCTGGAATAGTGCAGCTTGGGGCCATTTGATGACATGGGGGGGGGGGTAGTTTTCTGCGTGGCTGCAAGCAGACAAGTGTGTGATGCACTGGTAGGATCAATGGAGCCATTGTCCAAAGTGGGGAAAACAAGCAGTTTGCGTTGATGGGTATGAATCCAATAAGGCTGATAAGGGTCTGTGAATGTTTGTGGAAAACAATGGTCGCACCCATACATAAAAGAGACCTGTCGAGAAATTCTTCAGTACTAGTCATAATATTAATAAACTTGGACAAAACCCAGGTATTGGATTAGAGACTTGGGGAAAATTCTCACTTTGGTTCAGCCATATAGGCTGGTACTGGTTGTTCTCCTGGTTCACAAGCCGGAAACAAAGGGGATTTACTTGTTCAGTTCGGGAGAATTTGACATCTGGGACCCAGGGTGAATATTTCCGTTTGGTGGTGTTTGTCGCGTAGTCAAATAAGAGTGATTTGCAAAGTGTCCGGGGGGGGAGGTATCTGCCTTTAAATCCTGCCTCCCCTTGTGTGATTGTGGGGCTGAAAGCTGCAGGGGGTTACAAGATTGATCAGCGTATAAAACAAGCAGTTCGGGGGGGTGGTAATAATAAAACTGCATTCGCGTTGTGTGGAGTCTGACTGCATGCTATTTCTGGCAGAAATGATCGGGACTTCAAATGCCTGTTTACAAAAACTGTGGTTTTAAGTGAGCTGACACAGTTGGAGCACTAATGAAGTAACGGAGTTGAACAGGAATTATCAAGCGTCTATCATAGAGTTCTAATGCGGCTGTTTTTAAGTTATTTGCACATTTGAGCTCCACAAAAGAACAGTGGACGTGAGGGAAAACTGTGTGTTTCCTGCCAAAATTCTAATTAGCTGTATAAATTCAACGCTCACAAACTGTTTTACTCTCCTGTGTTCTTGTCTTTAAGTAGCTCCCTCCTGGCCATCCCAAACAACGGCTGTAGG